CTGTTTCACAGATGGACAAACTAATGTTAAAAATTATACAGTAATGCAAAACAGTTGGCATTAATTTTACTGATCACTTCATATCCCATCAAGAGTAACTAGTCTACACAGTTACAGAAAAACAGAATAAACATTCTTTGTTAATAGAATGATCTCCAAAATATATTCCTAAGTAAGAAATTTTTAAAACAAAGGTATATACAGTGTTTATACTATGCTACCATTTGTGTAAAAGGGAAAAGATCCATGCATTTTTACCTTATTGTATAAAAAATATCTTTAAAAAGTAAAAAAAACTGGCATCGTTGATTACAGGGAAATAACTAGGTAAGAAAGACATAGATTGTGTCCTCTGCTCTTTACCTTTCGAATTTTGAATCATAAAAATGAATTGCGTATGTTTTTACCCACCTTCTGTTTTTTTTTGTTTGTTTGTTTGTTTGTTTTAAAGGAGACTAAGACCAGGCAAAATAAAACAGAATAAATCCAATCAAAACAAAACAGTGTAATACAGGATTTCAAAACAACCTAATAGGAAATCAACAATGGCTACTGTAATGCCTCTTGTCGTCTTCATAATAGCTGCCCAGATCATCAGATCTAGAAAAATCAAACAAAATAGAAAAAACAAAACAGTGAACACAATACAGGACTTCAAAGCAAGATAATAGTAAATCCAAAATGACTACCATGATATACCTTACTATCTTTGAAGTAGCTACCCATGCCATCAGATATAATAAAATCAAACAAGACAAAACAAAATGAAACCAAAACAGTGAAAATGATACAGGACTTTAAAACAAGGTAATAGAGAATTAACAATGGCTACCACCTTCAGAAAGAGAGCCCCCATAGATGCTGTATGGTGTATTATCCTCTAAATAGATGATCAGACAACCAGCTTTAGACCTGCAAAGTCAATGAAACACTAAACATCACAAGCATTAAGTTGTATTTTACTTCAATATTTATCATCTCAGTCTGTGTTTCTCTGGATCAGCCAATTACTTACGGCAGGGAGAGGGGAAACTTTGGCTCTTCTGGTCTCTCAGCCTACGTGTCAGAAGGGGCTGGTGTCTGGTTTTCCTCCCCACAGCCCACACAATGGTGCCAACTCACAGGAAGTGACTGGCTTCTTGTTCTCCCTGTGGCCTGTGAATGGCCCCAGACTTGTTTTTTATAACTTGGCCACAGTGTTTTCTGATTTTCAGTGGCAATATTTGATCTTTTCATGATTTTATTTTTTATTTAAAGAAAAAAACAGTAGAAAAAAAGGTAGGGTAACACAGAATTCAAAAAAATTAACACTAAGAAATCTCTAGTTGATACGTTACACATTGTCATCTTAGAATTGGTTGTTCAAATTACAAAATCAAAGCATAAAAAGTGGATAGACACACACTGATAGTGTAAACCATTCTGTTCATTGATTCAACAAAAATATAGTCATCTGGTCATCTATCTTACACACTTAAGACATACAATTATATCCTTTACAGCAGTTTCCTTCCCTTTCATTTTTACAATATCTATTATATATTTTGAATCTTATCACTCTTCTTTTTTTTTAAAGGCCATTGTTTTCTGTTACTTCATTTAGGTCTTCTGTTAGGTCATAACTTCTGTTAGTTCATTTAGACTCTTGCTTTCAGATAATTCCTGAGTATCTTATCAAACACACCCATCAGTTAAAAATCTGTCATAAGCTAGTTACAGCTTTTCTCCTCAGAACTCTGTAATCTGTCAGTTTAATAGATAAATATAATTACAAAAACATTTGCTAACCTAGAAAATGACTTTATTTTTACCATCACCAAGGGCTTTTCAGCCTCTGATACACAAGTGTTCATTTTAATATGTATACTTGTAATTTTGCCTTTTAAGTTTTTTATTCTATTGATACTGATTTCATGTTATTATTCACCATTATGAGTCTTATGAAGATCATTTTACAGTAAGCTGTAAATGTATTACGTTAATGCTATTTTCTTTCTGTCATTGTTATGTTTATTATTAAGTTCTTCTGTAATAATTACTTGGATATCAGGCTTATGTATTAATGACCCATATGATTTACCAGAAGAACTGTTGTCTCTTCATTTCTCATTATATGATTTAAACCCTGTAACTTCTTTCCTGACTTATAGCTTCAGGAGCATACACTGATCTTTTCCTGTCTCAGTTCCTGTACACAGTACTATCAGCCTAATCTTTTTGCACTAACATTTAATTATGTTATTCCCTTGCTTAGAATATAGCAGGATATTTCCTTCAATATAGCAAAATAATGTAAACCAATAGCGTTTATTGATCATAAGGCTCAGGATTATGCAGTCATCAAGAAATCTAATTTTGATAAATACCCATTTTATAAACAAGAAAGTGTTGTGAAAAGTAATACAACACTTAATCTTAAATTAATCTGAGATGTTGTAAATAGTAGATACCAAAACTTGAATCAGCTGTGTTGACTCCAGCTTTGTTAGTATGGCTCTAGTCAGGCCCCATGTACCCCCTTTGTGCCCCTTTTGTACTACCCAGTTCTTCTGCACCTTGTTTAAGTCACAAGTCTATACTCAACTTTGTTCTCAGTATTGACACATATTTATTTTCAGCCTATGGAAACCCTGCTTCTCCCCCCACCTTTCTTCTCCCTCCCCTAATTCTGAGGATTGAATTGAACCCAGAAACTCACACATACAAGGCAAGTGCACTACTGTGGAGCAAGAACCCTTTTAAAAACTGTGAAGCCAGTACCTTGTATCTAGCAGACATGCAAGAAATATAACTTAGAAAAACCAATTTCATTCATACAAAATTTGTTAGATTTTTTTATAAAAATGGATTGTGGAATCTGTTGTTACTAAGAACTGTTGCAATTTAAGATACTTCTTTTTCCAATTAACTAAATTTTGTAAAATCATATTAAAATGTAAATAAAACTTCAATGTATAATTTAAACTTTTGTATGTTTTTTCAGTTGGTTCTTTAGAGAGATGGGAAAGATTTTTCTAATGAAAAAATGAAACTTGGAAAGTAAAAGGAAGCTAGGTTACTTTCTGTACCTAAAATACCTGCCATAAGATCATAGACTGATGCTAAAAGTGGGGTATAAATTTAGGTGTTTATTTCCATTGGGCAAAGTAAACAAGAAAACATGATTCAACTACATGATGAAGTTGTTCATGTTACAAAACCAGTCAAAGAAAATTTTTCCACGGATCTTCACAAAGCAGGACTACCATGTGAAATAGATAAATCACATTTCAACACCATTGCTACCATAAATAAATACATTTATAGTTTAATGTGAATGATTCTTACCAGGCTACTTGACAAAGGCCTTTTATGATCTGTCATACTTTGTAGTTTTAATGATTAAAAGTTATTACAGAAGGAGCTAAAGGCCAATGAGTATTTAGAATTTCTGAGACCTAAAGAATTTTTGGAACAACATGTCCCAAGGGCACTGGTAATTTTGTAGGTGGGCTCGTTTTTTTAAAAATTGGCTGGAAAATCAAGCATGATTATTTTGTAAGGCAAATATTTTAAAATTTTCTCTTAACCTGAAACAATTTACTTTGTATAGTAAATATTTATCTTCATATTTTAGTCTGCGTACTAATCCCCAAAGTCTCTTGGCTCACAAAAGTCAATGTAGAAGCCTTGAAATAATACAAATGAATAGGCCATATGTGAACAAATCTGCAAATCTCCTGCTCTGTTTAAAGATTTTTCTAAAGGGTAATATAATGAACCATGTGTTTGAAATTACAGTGGTAGACTTTAGAAAGATACTAGATAAACACTAGACCAGTGGTAGTGCATGCTGCAGCAGGCTCTTTGTTATTGAAAACTCTAAAAGATTCATCCTCACTGTTTTAGAATATTGTAGGAACATTGCAAGGTACTCTTGTGACTGGAGTTTGAAAATTACTGGCCTTCTATCTAGCACAGTTCAAACTTAGCAGAATAGTAGAGTGTTCTGCACCATCTGGTTCTGTAACTTGTAGTCAAAGTAGCAGCTGGGCACATGTAATGTTGCTGAAGTGACCGAAGAACTGAACTTTTAATTTTGTTTATTTCATATTTAACTTCATATGATTAGTAACTGTGTAAATCAGCTTCCTGTTGCTGTAACAAATACCTTACACAATCAACGTAGAAAAGGTTTATTTTGGCTCTGTTTTAGAGATTGCAGTCCATGATTAGTTAGTTCTCTTGCTTTTGGCATGATAGTAAATTTACAGGAAGAGCATATAGCAGAGCAAAACTGAACACCTCATGGTCAGGGAGCAAGAGAGCGAAAAAGAGACGAAGTACCAAAATCCCTTTTCAAGGACATACCCCCAGTGACCTTAGAGCCCCACTCCCAACTGCTCTAGCACAACCTCCCAGTAGCACCCCGATGACCGATGACCAAGCCTTAACTATCTGGAACGTTGGGGAACCCTTCAGATCCAAATGATAACCATTAGATCAGCTCTAGAGAATGGGATAAAGATTTGTTGTCTAAAAATAGCTAGATGTAGTGGCACATGCCCATAATTCCAGCTCTTGAGAGACAGAAGCAGAAATACTATAAATTTGAGCCCAGTCTGGGCAATTCAGTGACATCATTAAACCCCATCCCCAACAGCAATGTAGTTCAGTGCGAAGATCCTTGCTTCAATTCCTGGTACTAACAGGGAAGGAAGGAAGGAAAGAAGGAAGGAAGGAAAAAGGAAAGAACAATAGTAGTAAGTTCAAGATTATATTCACCAACTGTTTGGAAAGCCTATATTTGTAAGAGACTTATATTTCAATATAATTATTTGTAAATTTACTTTTCTGTATCTGAACTTTAAAATTAGGGTGCTCAAGTATACGAATCACCTGTAGATACAGTACTAATGTAGGTAGCTAAAACACTATTTACAATTCTTTCAGAACATTGAAGTATAACATAAAAATGGAAAAAACTATGGGTATATTGACATAGGACCATTTTCCCCCAGTTTCCAGAGTGTGGATTCTTTGGCATGTATGACAAAATTCTTCTCTTTCGCCATGACATGAACTCCGAAAATATTTTGCAGCTGATTACTTCAGCAGATGAAATACATGAAGGAGATCTAGTAGAAGTTGTTCTGTCAGGTGAGTGAACACCTCCTTTTATTTTTTTTTCAGTCATTTTCTGTACTAAGTGCTGTGTTCTATTACACTTAATCTTGATACTATACAGTTGCCTCCTCTCTCATTATGTTACTGTGTGGTTTTTGTTTTATTTTCTCAACTTCCAGAAAGGTTATACCACAGATGGGAAAGTAGGAAAATGAAGTGACTTACTTGAGCTAAAAAAATTGGTAACTGACCTGAAAGAGAAATGAAACAGTAAAGGATACCGTTGAGAAGAATTGAGATTCAGGAAAGAAAATCAGGAAAAGTGAAATAATATTGAGCATATAGAAGAGGAAGTGACAATATTTGTTTTTTGCGTGTCTTAAAAAAATTCTTCCCTTTTTGTTTTCAATGGACTTTCTCCTTTTCCTACTTTACACATTCTTGTCATTCCTTCTTCCTTAACTCTCACTGTTTCCATTATTAGTCAACATCATGACTGCTGTTTGTGGGCAGGATTGTTTGTGAAGAGTGTAAAGAGGAGAGAAAGCTATAATGATGTACGCAGTAGTCTGCAAGGCTGTTTTTTGTTTTGTTTTGTTCTGTTTTTTTGCAGGAAAGGAGAATTGTTGGGAAAATGGAAACAAGCCGGCTAGCCAAGCTTTCAGAGTCTTGCTGCCACTTTTCCCTCCTCTAGTACTCGCCTTGTTCTTGAGATTCTCTTAAAGTCCCTATTCATTTTGCACTTCTAATCTTGCTTATCTAGCTTTCAGCATGATCACTCATCTTCTGCACCACAACCACAAACCATCTGTAACCTCGGTACATCTATTCGCATTCTTTGTCTTCCTCTTCATTCATGAAGGACTTCACTCCCTGTCCTCCCTCATGCTCCCGCTCCTCGTGCTCATACCCATCCGTTCTTTGCTATGGATCTTTCATCAAATCACAGGGACAAGCCTAATGACTTGCAGGCTGATATGGGAGGGAGATCCTTGTGACCTGTTGCTTTTTTAAGAGAGAACTCTTTCTCTTAACCACTAGGACTATGGAGAACAGAGAGAACAATCTGAGTCTGCCGGGGATCTAGTCCAGCAGCATAAGTCTGCTTCGCAAGTGCAAGGTCCTGAGTTCAATCTCTGGTACAAAAAAAGTAATAATCTGGGTCCAGGGTGGGATCCTAAATAAGAGCTCAGTATCTTTTTCCCACAGAAGTATTACAATAAATTAAAATTAGGTTCCACGGATTGGATTGTTTTTGTTTTGTTGGGACAGGAACCTTGCTTTTTTTTTTGGTGCCGGGCATTGAACTCACGACCTCATGTTTGCCAAGCAGGCACTTACGGCACTGAGCTAAATCCCTGGCCTTGACCTTGCATTTTTACCCCTACTGTTTTTTCATTTTTTTACTTTAGTGTTCTGTTTCTCAGTTGTGATAAACGTTAGAGCAGGTGTTTTTGTTTTTAAACAAAAACAGCAGGTCCCACAACATAGCCTGGGCTGGTCTTGAACGTCATCACTTTTCTCAGCCTCCTGAGTGCTGGCATTACAGGCATGTACCACAGTGCCAGCACTAAATAGTTTTTAATTAGCTAAAATAAAGCTAGTGGCAATTTGTAGTCTCATCACTCTAAGAAAGGACTTTTTTGGAGGTCCAAATGCCTAACTTATAGGCCTCCAAGTTAAGTTGGAGCTCAACTTACTTGAAGCTAGTGAACTTTCTAGAGGTTAAAAATCACTTTTTTTAAAATCATAGTATTAAATCCCCAAAATAGTTTGTTTTTATGGTCAGATGAAACCTTTAGGGAAAAAATTATTCTGTGTTTTGATGAAAATGATGAACATTCCTACTCTCTTTGCAATTACAAATAGAAAGTTTAATGCTTTTCTTTTTTAAAAGCTTTGGCCACAGTAGAAGATTTCCAGATTCGTCCCCATACTCTATATGTACATTCTTACAAAGCTCCTACTTTCTGTGATTATTGTGGTGAGATGCTCTGGGGATTGGTACGTCAAGGGCTAAAATGTGAAGGTATGTATTACATTTTTGTCATTTTAAAAACGATGTCACATTTCTATTTTTATTACCCATGAAAAACCAAGATCATAAATGTTGAGGTAGTAAAACAAGTTTACAATTACAGAGATTAGCAGATATTAGGAATTTGGACCTATCTCTGTCATCTACTTGTTCCTGTCTTTAAGCAGGTCCTCTTTGAGGATTGATTTCTCTGTATATATATCCTACCTAATGAGTTTCATAAAAAGTTAAATTTAAGGTAAATAGATACATTTGATACAGAGTAGTGGGTCAACAAAAACCAAGCTCCTTACTTACCATAAGAACTTTTTAGAAAGTTGACCAGCTTCCTTCTTTATCATCTTTTTAGAAAGTTAAATCTCTTGTGTACAAAACAAAATTGTCAAAGATTTTCTGAATTAGGATTGCTGGGAGTAGGGTATAGGTATACATTTTGACCAAGGAACAGTATTCTAATATGGAGAGTCAGAGAATAAATATTTTAAAATTCACAGACCATATGGTTTCCATTGTGACTTAACTCTGTTACTATAATGTGAGACTAACCATAGACAATATGTAAGCAAATGGCATGGCTGTTATCTAGTAAAATATGTATTTATATATACTGAAATTCAAGTTTCCAATAATTTATCATTATGGGAAGGTTTCATACATAGGACACTGTTTGTTGCTGATCAATGCTTTAAGCCAGTGGTTCTCAAAATTTGCCAAGCATCAGAAAACATGCTTCGCTGGGCTCCATTCCCAGACTTACTAATTCAGTAGATCAAGGGTAGAGCCCAATAATTTACATTTCTTACAGATTTCCAAGTAATTATTTTAGGGACTGCAAAATCCACTACTCCAGCTAACTTAGTCTTTCTAAATATACCTTTCTCTGTACTATTCTTGTTTAATTTATAAGGTTTCACTCAAGTATTGTCTGGGTTCTTATTTAAGATGGTGTTGTTACCAGAGAAAATAAATAAAAGAAGCACTAGTTTTTATGTTGTACACTTAAACAGTAAAGTTTTTTTAATCTTACATTTTACCTTGTAAAATATTAGGCTGTGGATTAAATTATCATAAAAGATGTGCCTTCAAGATTCCAAATAACTGTAGTGGAGTAAGAAAGAGACGTCTGTCAAATGTATCTCTACCAGGACCTGGCCTCTCAGTTCCAAGACCCCTCCAGCCTGAATGTGTACCCCTTCTTAGTGAAGAGGTATGTATTCTAAGGTTATAGAAGGATATTTTACTAGTTATTCCTAGTGCTTCTGTAAGATACAGAAGAGCATGTGTTTACCAGTTTTCTAGGAAGCTCACAATTTAGTCACGTTGACAAGCAAGATTAACCATCACAGAAACCTTTGTATACTTTATATTCCTGAAAGTCTATGTGCTCTAGCATTTCCTAGACACTCTCTTGTTGCCCCTGCTTTGCTTTTGTTGTTGCCAGCCCTACATGGTTTTCCCAGATCTAGCTCAAAAGCTACTTTTCCTGATTTTCCAATTCCCTAGAAAAATATGAATGTCATTATATTTTTTAAGAGCTAATTGTGTGTGTAACATCTTACTTAATGTTTATGTTAGCTCTTTCCCAAAGAGTTTATTATTAATTTTTCTTTTTGTGCTTCATTGTGCATACCACAATACCTGTGTGTACTTGTTAGGTACTCAGTGATGAATGAATGACTCCATTCAGCCTTACAGTATGGGGTATATCAGATCTGTTTACACACAAAATAGTGGAGACATGAATGATTTGGTGATTAGTAGTAAATATTAGAATTAAACCCAGATCTCATTATTATTCTGTGATTTTACCTCTAATGTATTGTGCCTTTGAAGGGTAAATATAATAGATCAGAAAAGAGAACATACATCTCATAATGCCTGAAATGACTTCTCCCTAGATTGTAATGTTATCACTTAATTGTTTCTATAAACTTCTCAATCTTTTATAAATTCTGTGGCAAAATGAAGGTGTTGTACTATTGTCTTGACAGCCTGGTTACAAGATTTTGCTACCCTGATATACCAAAGTAAAAACCTCTGAAATCCTGTCATAAAAATCCTTTAGTTACATATTACTTAGCTGTAATGTATGATTTCTAAAATAGAAAAAGAATAGTGGGCATAAGTACTAAGAATGAATGGTTATATAATTAGTGCATTTTATACAACCAAACTGCACAAGAAACTTATCTGGGGATGAACAATATAGGGTAATGGTATGTTTTAAAAGCCCAAGAAGACCATATTTAGAGTTGATCAAGTACAATAAAGTAGCAGGATACAAAATCAACATTAAAAAGTCAGTGACATTTTTATCTAGCAGTAATGAACTACTAAGAAAGAAACCATAAGAACAAGTCACAGTAGCTTCAAAAAAAACCGAATCTTAGGGACCAGCCTAACAAAGGAGGTAAAAGAAGTCTACAATGAACATTACAGCACACTAAAGAAAGATGAGGATAACACTAGAAGATAATGAGGATGACACTAGAAGATGAATAGACCTCCCATGTTCATGGGTTGGGAGGCTTAATATTGTTAAAATATCCATATTACCAAAAACAATCTACAGATTTAATGAAATTGTCATCAAAATTTCAATGACATTCTTCGCAGAACAAGACAAAAAGTTCCTAAAATTCACATAGAAACACCAAATACCCAAAATAATCAAAGCAGTCTTAAGCCAAGAAAGTTCACTCCTGAGGGCACAAAAAGGACAGAATCACACTGTGAGAGAGAAAAATGTTGGGTCTAAATGTGAGCAAAGTGGAGATAGTGTGTGTAAGTGATACTCTGAAACTAGTAATTGAGAAACTACTCATTTTAAAATGCTTTCTCTTTATTTTATATACTTGACAATTAACAGTTCTACAAATTTTTGTGAGCAATTGAGTTTGGCAAATGTTAGCTTAAACCTAAACTGTAGAAATAGTCGTATTTTTAGGAAATTTCTGGCTACACATAAATAGAGAAGAAACAACAGTTCAGCTACGCACCAGTTTGTAAGTAGGGAACTTTAAAACAAGATAAAAATTTTCACTCAATTCTAGTTACTCTGATTTCAATGCCTCACACCTCTCACCTCACATCCCCTTGTTTCCTTTGCAATGTTAGGAATCAAACCCAGTTCCTGAGCATCCTGGGTAAATAGTCCTACCACTAAACTAAATTCCTAAGCTCTCAGTGGTCCCATTTTCACCAGATTCTCAAGCTAACTATACTAATCCTCCTTCAGAATTCTGTTTAAATCTACCATACCTTTGCTGCCTTCCACACTCGACAGACAAGCAAAGCATTGTTGCTGATGGATTTGGTTGTTTATTTTTTTTCTTTTGTTTGTTTGTTGTTGAGATAGGGTCTCACTTTGTAGTTCAAGCTGACTTTGAACTCACAATGATCTTCCTACCTCCCCAGTGCTGGAATTACAGGCATGGGCCACCACACCAGGCTCTGGTTGGATTGTATTGCAAGCCCAGGTATATTGACATAGGGAAAAGGTTAACAATCACCAGACTACAAGGCCAAAAACCTAAATTTAAGTCTTGATTCTAATATTGCCATTAAGTAGTATTGATTCTTTTAAATAACTTTATACTGGACGTAAGAAAGTAGGTAGTTCCTACAGCCACTGTTCCCACCGTAGTTCCTGGCACACATGCTTTGTTCCATTTCCATAATACCCCAATCCCAGTTGAACCTTACCAAAAAGCATTAATTTACTGGTGGCATAGGAAAAGGATTGTTAAGTAATTTATTTTGAAGAGTACCTTGGGCGACTAGGGATTTAGCTCAGTGGCATAAGCACCTACCTGGCAAGCGTGAGGTCATGAGATTGATCCCCAGTACCAAAACTTAAAAAAGTAACTTGGATGATGACTGGCTAAATCAGTCTTACCTCATGTTGTGTGTTTTGAACTTGGTACAAATCAAAAGTGGTAAAAGTAAGAGTACAAGAAGCATAGTGTTGAGTCACCACTAAAATAAGGAGCCAGACATGAGCAAAGACATAACACAGGTTTCTAGTTGCCTGTGGTTCTTTCTTAGAATTCTTTCTTTGCAGAATCTGCGTAGTGTTCTTTGGCTGAAGAAGGTCCATAGGCAAAGGGAAGAAGAGTGAGCCAGACTAGTAGGACAACCTTCAACATCTGGAGCACTCAAGTGTGGTTTAGGGTTTAGCATTCTTTTTTACTGTTCCTGCAATTAAACTACCTCATAATTCAGTTTAGAAATTTAGTCTCTTGATTTCTTCTGACTTATGTTTCCATTGGTTTGACATACCAATGTAGAATGACTCAACTTCTCTGAGTTATAAACTTTACTGGCCACAAAAGGCATCTTAATCTCTGGATCTCAGTTCTGACATGAAGATGTAAGTAGTTACAGCAATATCCACTTAATACATCTGTGTGGCAGTTAGGTGTTTGGCTTTTATGCTCAAGAATGCAGATTATGGTTTATTCAATTTTGGGTTCTGAAAATAGAACCTGCCGTATAATCAGTGAATGTTTATTGAATACATGTAATGAGCCATGTTCAATTACCCTATAATTTATTTTGGTTATCTATTCTTTTATATAGAAAGAGCCATCGTTACCAAAATCCATACATCTCTTAAGTTACTTTTTTTGTTTATTGGTTGGTTGGTTTGGTTTGGTTTGGTAATACTAAGTATCAATCTCAGGGAAACTAGCACTGAGCTACATCGCCAGTTCTTTTTATTTTTTATTTTGAGATAGGATCTAAATTGCCTAAAATGGACTTTAATCCTTCTATCTCAGCCTCCCTCAGTGCTGGCATTACAGACATGCCCTATCATCTTTCTTACACAAAGGTTTTTAAATATTTTTTTAATTTTGTGTTTTTTGTTTTTTGCTTGCCTGGAAGGAAAAAACCAAAAACATCTGGAAAATGTTGTAAATGTTAGAGAACTACTTATAGTATATTTACCGAGGCTAGCCCTGTGTTTTAATTAGTTTTGTATCTGCCATTATTTATGAAATCAAAATTAATTAGACTTCTTTTTAGGGGGTGAGGAGGGAATAATGTTGCAGATTTAAGCCAGAGCTACTGAGCTACATTACCTATTGGTTTTTATTTTTGAAATAAGTGGTCTTCAACTTGTGATCCTCATGCCTCAGCTTCCCAGATTTATGAAATTATAGACTTGTGCCACGGCATTTATACATACATATTTTAATGGTGGTTGAGGTAAATTTTGAAAATCTGTGTTCCAAAATATTTTCAAACATCAGATTCAGTAATGCAACATTACTTCCTGAATTTATTTAGTATTCCTGTAGCTAATTCCTTAGTAACTTTTAAATAGATTTGTGCACGTTGTGTTATTTTAAGATTTTGGTTTTTATTTGTAAAGTGCTAAATGTACGTGGCAAATAATAATCAGTGAATGTTTCTATATGAGAATTAATGTACCTGAATTTTGTTTGTTTACATAAATAGGATAAAAAAATATATATACTTTTCTCATTCAAGATTTGGTAAAGTAAGCTTTCCAAAGGAAACTGCTCAGATCTTCATTTTTAGATTGTTGGCTTTAAGATGCCAAGTAAATGACTTCTGTGATTAAACTTTGTTCCTGATATTTTGTTTTTAATATTAACTTAAACTTATGAGAATTACTTACATTTTAGACACATATCCACCAAGAACCAAGCAAGAGAATTCCATCATGGAGTGGTCGCCCAATCTGGATGGAAAAGATGGTAATGTGCAGAGTAAAAGTTCCACACACATTTGCTGTTCACTCTTATGGCCGTCCCACAATATGTCAGTACTGCAAAAGGCTACTAAAAGGTCTTTTTCGCCAAGGAATGCAATGCAAAGGTAGGATTGAATATTTTCCTTAAGTAAAATTCGTGTCTGTTTTTGTTAATAAATACAGATTTAAGCATTTATATTTCAGAAACATTCGTTGAAAAAATTGTGTTTTAATTAATTTAAAAAGAAAAGAAATACGTATGAAATACAAATATGTATGTTAACTACTATTTGCAATATTTGTACTATGTGTCAGTCACTGCTAAAAAAATTCAAAGCAATTGTACATAAAGTAATCCTTTTGCTATTAGTAATAATAGTCATCTTCTATTAAATTTCTTAAGATTCCATAGCCAATAAATAGAAAAACTAGAATTTGAATCAGTAGCTCCTTAATCTGTATGTTTAACACTTAGCAATATGGAAGACATTATAACCAGTGAGGCTGACATTGGAGCTTAAATCTCTGATTTTAGAGCCAGACACTACCCAAAATATTCATGCACACACATGTAAACTTATTACAGAGATTTCAATTTTTTGTTTTTAATTTAATTTTAATTTTTAATTTTAATTTTAACCAGGAAAGCAATACAAAAATGTCTTTGTGAATAACACTAAAATAAGTAGGATGCTGACGAAACCACTTAAATTATAAGAGAGATACCACTCTTATTTGGATACTAACCCAGCACACTTATCGAAGTATTTCTAAAATATCTCTTACCCAAACAGGTTTTTAAATGAAATAATAGATTTGTTCTTAGGCTTTTATCTTTGCAAAGATGATTCTGTCTTTTTGTTTAATATGTCCTCTCCAGTGATCCTACTGTATAGTGAACACTAGGGATTTAAAATATTTTAATCCCATGTTAAGTGGAAATTATCTCATGTAATTAATATAACAGTTCTTGGTATCATGCTTTTATTTTTTTTTCTTTTTTATCTTCAAGTAAAACTAAATATAATTAAATAGAACAAAGTAGATCAGAAGAAAACAATGTAAGTGACACAGATTTCAAAGCAAGATAATAGCTACTGTAATGTCTTCCAAATAGTTGTCCATATCTTCATACACAATAAAGTCGTACAAAACAAAATAGTATTAAACTGATCAGAACAGAGTGATGAAGGCATTACCGGCCTTCAAAACCAGACAATAGAAAAATCAACAATGGCTGCCATAATGCTCTTTTTCAAATTAGCTGTCCATACCTTCATATATATTGAATTTAAACAATACAAAACATATTAAAACCATTCTAAACAAAGAATAAAATCATTACCGGATTTCTCAGCATGATGATACGGTATCAGCAATGAATACCATGTCTCTTTTTCTTCAAAGTAACTGTCTTATTTTTTTAATCATTGCTGAGACAAAATATCTGATGTCCAAAGTTGGGAAAGGAAATTTTTATTTTTTATAGTTTTGAAGATTTTAGTCCATATTTAGTTGGTTCCAAGGCAGGGTGGCATGGCAGGGCCACAGTTCTTGGTGACTGCAAAGGGCAAGACAGAAACTGGCAAGAGAGAGAGACACGCCTTCTTTCTGCCATTACATTGTATGCTGGCTCCACCCCAAATGGTGTAGCACTGACACCATCAATTTAAGCTAGACAGTGAACCAATCACAAATGCACAATGCAAATGCATGAGGCCTGGGGGCCACCGACATAAACCTTGACACTGTTCATTTCATCACACATAATATAATCGATTCTCATAAACTATTTAGGGGAAGTCCTACACATGTATAAGCCTCTACATGTATACCTATCTTTTCTGTATTAGAGGGAAAACCAAACCAAAACAAAACAAATTACTAGAAAAACACAAAACAAATAAGACAAATAACAACAGCAAAAAGCCTAAAACGATGATACAGGCCTTCAAAACAAGGTGATAGGAGCATAACTAGGGTTGTTAATTTACATAATGTTCTTCAAGAGTTCCTTAGATTTCCAAACATTAACATGCAAAGTTGTTCCAATCCTATGAATGTTAGCTATTTTGTTCCAAGTACTTACGGAATTTGTAGCATAATCATTTTAGTCATCCTAAGTGTGATTATACAATTTTAGATGTTTTTTTTTCATTTCCCTTCCTTTGGTACTATGCTTTTAAAAAATACAGTAGAGGGTATTTGTGGAACCAAATTTTCAAATGATTTAAGTAAAATATTAGGATTGAGATTTTTACAATAATAAATTTTTATTTACAATACATATTAAGGTAGTTACATACCTATTTAATGTAAGAATATAAGGAAAGGGCCAGAGATATGGTTCAGTAGTTGAGCACTTGGCTAGCATGCATGAGGCCCTGAATTTCACTGCTAGCACTGCAAAAAAGAAAAAACTTTTCTTCACAATATATGATAATACAGAATATCAAATAGAGAACATATTATATACATTTATTGTCATATATTTAATCACCATTATGCAAGCATAAAGTAAATGCTGAAATTTTATTTCAAAGCTTAATTTGAAAATGTTAATACATAAATTAATACTATAGAATATCAAAACAAAAGTGGCAAGCAACCACTAAAAATTGGTTTCAGGAAGTACATTTTTGACAGATAAAAAAATCCTAATCAACAAATAATCTTAATAAAGATAAGTTAATAATACCTGTTAATATCTAACAGTAAAAACAAAATGTAGAAAAGCACAGTATTTTGTAGAGAAACTAAAATATACAAGTTGATTATAATTTTTTAGAATTTTATTTAAAATTTTAAATAAATTACATTATTTTAAAATTTTTATTTTAAAGAGGAAAAAAGCAAAACAAAAAAGGGTAGCAACAATACAGAATTCAAAAAAAAGCACTTAACAAATCACTAGTTGATAAATTACATACTATCATCTTAGAAATAGTTGTTCTGGGGCTGGAGATTTAGCTCAGCGGCATAAGCGCCTGCCCTGCAAGCAGGAAGTCGTGAGTTCGATCCCTGGTACCGATAAAAGGAAAAAGACAAAAAAAAAAAAAAAAAAGTTGTTCAAATTACAAAGTTAAAGCATACAAAGTGGACATTATAACATGAGACTGCAAACAGTTCTGCTCAACAATCCAACAAAAACTTAGTAATAGGGTCATCTATCTTACACACTTAAAAACATACATGCAGTTATATCCTTTAGAGCACCTTCTTTGCCTCTCTTTTTACAATAGCAATTACACATTTTGGGTTTTATTACTCCTACAGTTCTTGCTACTTTTTACACTAGAGATACAATGTGATATTCATAAATATGATTCTTATCTATTTCACTTAAGGGGGTAATCTCAAGTTGCCTCCATTTACCTATGAAGGGCCTCAAGATCATCCTTTTTATAGCTAAGTGATATTCCATTGTATAAAAATACCACATCTTTTTCATCCACTTTGCAGTTGATGGGCATTTTGGTTGTTTCCTTAGAAATTGGCTGCTATGAACATAGGTGCACATATATCACTGTGACATGACCTTTTCAGTTTTTCTGGGAAAATACCCAGGAGGGGAATAGCTGGGTTAAATGGAACTTCCAATCCTAGTCTTCTGAGAAATCTCCATAGTGATTTCCATAGTGGCTGCACCAGTCTACACTCCCACCAACAATGGAGCAGTGTTCCTCTCCCCCTCCCCCAAGCCTCGCCAATGTTTGTTTTCGGTTGTTTTCTTGATGGCAGCCATTCTTTCTAAAGTGAAATGAAATCTTAATGCTGTTTTAATTTGCATTTCTCAAATGACCAGTAATGGTGAACATTTCTTCATGTATTTATTTGCCATTTGTATATCTTCATCTAAGAAATGGATGTTCATCTCAGATGCCCATTTTTGGAGAGGGTGTTTGAATTTGGGGGGCTTAGTGTTTTTCAGTTCTGTATATGTTCTGGATATAAGTCCTTTGTCTGAAGGGTTGCTGGTTATAATTTTTTCCCATTCTGTGGGTTTCTTTTCACTCTGTTGGTGACTTCTTTTAAAGTACAGAAACTTTTCAATGAGATTCCAGTTGTTGATTCTTTGAAGTGTTTCCTGTGCAGTTTGCATTGTGTTCATGAATTCTCTGTCTGCCCTAGCTGTGTCTCCAAGAATTCTGCCTACCTTGTCTTCCAGTCGATTTAGTGTTTCTATTTTAATATTTAGGTCTTTGATCCATGTCGACTTTGGTTTTGTGCATGGTGATAGGCATGGGTCTAGTTTCAGTCTTTGGCATGTGAAAAGCCAATTTTTCCAACACTATTTATTAAAGAGGCTATCCTTCTTCCAGTGAACATGTTTAGCACTTTTGTCAAATATCAGGTGGCTGAGTGTCTTTGTAGTTGTGTTTGTATCTTCTAATTTGTTCCATTGATCCTCAGGTCTGTTTCTTTGCCAGTACCATGCTGATTTTATCACTGTGGCTTTGTAGTATAGTTTCAAGTCAAGAATTGAGATGCCTCCTGTCTTGCCTTTGTTGCCCAGAATTGCCTTTGCTATTCTAGGTCTCTTTTGTTTCCAAATGAATTTTAGGAGCATTTTCTCTAGATCTATGAGGTATGTCAATGATATTTTGATTGAGATTGCATTGCGTCTGTATAACAGTTTTGGGAATATGACCATTTTCACAGTGTTGGTTCTTCCTAACCAAGAGCAAGGAATATCCTTCCATTTTCTAATATCCTCTTCAGTCTTTTTTAGCATAGCATAATTTGCAGCATATAGGTCTTTTACATTTTTGATTAGGTTGATTCCTAAGTATTTCATTTTTTTAGATGCTATTTGTGAAAGGTGATATTTTCATTATTTCTCTCTCGGTGAGTTTTTTGTTTGTGTACAGGAATGCAATTAATTTCTGAGCATTCTGTATCCAGCTACACTGCTGAATTTGTTTATTACTTCTAGTAGTCTTTTAATGGAGTTTTTTGGATCTTCTATATAGAGTGTCATGTCATCTGCAAATAGTGACAGTTTAACTTCTTCCTTTCCTATTTTTATTCCTTTTATTTCTCTCTCTTGTCTGATTGCCCTGGCCAGTATTTCCAGAACTATATTGAATAGGAGTGGTGATAGTGGACATCCTTGTCTTCTTCC